TTCGCTAGGACAGAAAACATTGGAGCTATCTCCTGGGCGGACTGCAATGGTCGTACGATTCGGGAGAATTGAGTCGGCGAATACCATGGCCTTGGTCATGCCGTCCGAGTGGTGAATGAGCCGCCACGAGATACGACAGGGCGGTTGCACAGGAGCAGGTCATGGCTGCTCCTGCCTAAACAATACAACCTCGGAAAGGGCGCTGCGGAAGACCTGCTACTTCCCAGGATGCCCTGCGGCGCACAAACCAAGTTGCTCTGCTATCAGCAGGGTCCCACACTCATGCACATTATGATCTAGCATCGATCGGATCTCATCTTTGACAATATCGATGACAGGACATGAGCATGATGCCTAAAGCACAGCCCCGCGACGCCAGTCTACTAGACCGCAGCAACGGCCAGGAACCAATATGTGGTCCAGCTCCATCAGATCCTCTGAACGAGACCTACGCCACTCCGTCCTTCCGATCGACCCATGCCATGCAGCCGGATCCGTTCGCCTATTACAGAGCTTTCCTAGATACGAGCTCGTCGCAAATGCAACCGCAAACGCAAGGCCAAGGGCGCGACCGGCATTACATCGCACAAGATCACGATGATTATGCCTGCCACGATATTACCGGGACCGGAGATATGCAGCATGACATGGAATATCAGCAACAGGCCAGAGCTCGAGGCGTTCCCTACAATCTTGCCGTTCGGCTCGCAAATCGCTCCAATGGCGCGCCTCTAGCCACTATTGTGGAGCAGGGTTCCTACTCGACGCTAAACTCACATGGCTCCCTCCTCAGCGTGGGCCGCTTCCCTTCACTCCGTGTGGTGGAAAATGCCTCGCCAACGCGCTCGTCACACAGAATTCCATACACACCAGAAGAACATGTTCTCCAGCGCATCACAGAAGACGTGCAGCGAGGGCAATTGTTGAAACCACCAAGCAATACACACGATGTGCCCTTGTGCAAGGATTACAGCAACTCGTTCCGGGCTGATGATGCCGCAATCCCATCCGCGTTTCCCAGTCTTAAGCCATCGCAATTTATTACCCATCGGAATGGCAAGGCCGACTCCGACGCTAATACCAGCAATGTCAAAAGCTTCTTTCGTGGCGTTATACACAATGTTCGAGCTGCCTCGAGAACCCGGTCTAGGTCGTCCTCGACTCAGATGTCGCTCGTTGAGAACCACAGCGATCGGCCGGGCGCGAGCGAAGATAGCCTACAAAGCCAATTACAGGCATCTGACATGTCTCAACTGGGCGATGACACATTTGACATGCCATATCGTTTGCCTACTGCATCCCAGGCCCTAAGCGCGACTAAAGCGTTAGCTTCAGAGCATCAGGCCAGAAATGGGCAGTCATCCATGGCTGATCCTAGTTCCTCAGCTCATGCGATAGCATCCAATTCTGACGTCGACCCGTATACGCTCGAGTCGCGAACGGCATTTGGAGCCGTGTCAAAGCTACTACCACCGTCGGCTACAGCCCGCCCGCGTGAACGGTCCTCTTCTGTGCGTCTTGTGTCCCCGGAAGCACGCGATGGGGCGCGCGATGGCGGTAGCGCTGGAGTACCAAAGCTGTCAAACGAGGTCAACAACACCATATCAGCTGGACACACATTTTATGGTGCAGGCAAGAATACCCATTCACTCACAGAGCATGACCACTCGACGGAGGCTAGTCACAATGCGAGCTTCTGTAGTACCATGTCCACTTCCTACTCGGGAACAGTAGTCGGTGTCGATGTCGATCTTCAGCACGACTTCCCTCATCCAGTGCGTTCCTCGCGTTCACCCACACCTGTCGCGCCAGTATGGTTCACTCCGCAGATGGTCGAACTAGAACGGCAAGCTTCACTCTCTGAGTCACCTCCCGAGCCGAATCAAGTTGCTGAGACAAAACCTACGCGTCGTTCAATCACCTCATCCGCATTGACGTCTTTACTACCAATAGCTGCAGCATCGGGTATCGTTCGCCCCAACTACGACACACCCAAGATTTCATTCTTCTCGCCTTCCGGCAATCTTATCCAGCCAGAGGGTAGTTCGACGCCAGGCACTACGAGCCCTTCGGACTTCAGCGGCTCACCCACTGCGACCACATCGTGCTACGATAACAAAATCACACCTGCAACCTATCGTGCGTTCCCGACAACGACATGCCTGCCACCCCCAAGGCCCTCTTTGAGGCCAATGACCACACCGCCCACATCGTCGGTTCCGCTCCCTATGCACCTACGTTTCCATCACAACTACAGACGCCCTGAGCAGTCGCAGTTCGACTCTACGGTTGGCTCCACAGACTCGTTCATCTTGCCTGCACCGTTAGTCCAAGGCTGTGACGGGATAGCGCAAACCGAAAGTCTTGCGCCTTGCTCCAGACCGCGTCATTCGTACGAGAAGCTGGGGGCACGCCCGCGCTACAAACCTCGCAGATCAGCTCGATCATTCGCTGAGGACCTCAAATATGAGGCGAGGTTCCACAGAGCCCGATTGATCACGGCCATCATCGCAAGTTGCACCTCGTCTGGAAAAGGAAGGGTCCTTCGCAAGCGAAAGGCCGCGAACCGTAGAGCCGCAGCAACCGCATACGTTAGCATGCTCCGGAGCTGCGCAGGTGAGGCTACAATTAGGTCCAGAAAGAAACGGATACACCCCCGTCAACCCACAGCTCGACGCGACGTAGGGGTCCTCGGACCGCTTGCCGGGCACATACTGCGGATTTGCTTCTGCCAGCCATACGACGGCGCAGGCAAGACGACAGCCAGCGGCGCTACCAACAAGACCTGCATTGGCAAGAGCAGCAGCAATCACACAAGAAACACTCGCAGCGTATCGAAGAAGGAAAGCCCTCGCTCCAACGCAAACGACATCGACGTGGATGCAGCCTTACCCAACGCGCGGGTCGTGACCGGAACCGAACGGAAGGTCAGCAATACCGTACGCCAGCGCACCACGGTCCGCAAGGAGAAGAGACACTCGTCCACCGGCACCAGTCACCACTCCAGAACGCGCCGTGACAGTGCCGTCAGCGTGGGTGTGGCACCCAGCACCGCTACCGCGCGTGGCTAAGCTGACGGGCTAGACCGCATCTGCTGTGACAGCTGCCACACAGGTGTGTGCGGGTACGTGGTTGTTCAGTTCGGTACCGATGTACCACAAGGAAAGCGGGTCTTGTCACATCTCATCAGAAACAGGCATTGCGGTCGTCGCTGGAAGCGGTATAGCTTGGTAGTATGGTTGTTCCGCTTTGGGAACTTGCGCAAGAAGGAAATGGACACATTCGTTACTGCTTTTGGATACGATGGAAAGTAGGATTACGCGATATGGTTAGACGTATGTTGTTAGTTGGCTCGATGGAGGTGTGTGTGGGGATGGTAATGGGTGGGATCGACAATGTTACTTCTTTTCTGAAAGGGATGATTTGTTCCACCAATGATGCTTGCTTTGCAATGACTCAAGAGTGGTTCTTCTGGCGACTGCAAAGTGATTTTGCTTTTGCGTATCGTTCATGTGTTCTTCTGAGATGTGAATGATGTGCATATACGCTATCATGGTGGTGCTATAGGACAGGGGCGGCTACTCCACTACCCCACACGGAAGAAGCAAACAACAATACTGGTCTGACGTCTTCTTTGCTTTGATCTTCCAAGGGGATGCCGCGCTGCATATCGGCAACTTGATAGTGCATACGCAGATAACTTCAAGCATCACAACCGACGTCAGGTTACAGCATCCCACGCCTGGCGAGTAGAACGCACCAATGCAAATTACTCGCGAGCCTCACCTGTACAAACTCGTATCGAGAGCAACCCGCCAAGTCCCGACACCGGTGACCCAAGCATCACCGCACGTGTATTGTTGATATCGCTGAATAGAATGAAGCAACCAGTGAGACGTTCCGACCACTATGATAAAGACGTAGTAATTGGAAGAGAGACCCGGATATCGGCGACCTACTCCAAGTATCTGGAGCCGCCAAGACATGACAACCATAACACAGCGGTGTACTCCGCTGCCGTCTGTCATCCGTCATCCACACATACACATACATACACGCGAGGTGCTGAGAAAGCGGTATGCACACCGATAACCAGTATAATTCGCTTTCTACCTCGGCGCATGTCTACACGCTAACAGGCTGTCGGGTTCGTGTAAGCTCTACAACGCTTGGCTATAGAGTAGGAAAACGCATGGAAGTACCGCCTAGAACTGCCGCTTGAGCGACTCGAGAAAGCATATGCAGGTACTGCCCGGTTGAGTAACAATGCATCCGAGCCGAGGAGCTGAACCCAGTCAGCTCAACTAAGCACCGTCTCCCTTGCGTATATCAGAGACCAATAGTTGGCCATACGCGACCATCGAGATTCACGCATGAAAGTCGCGTATTAAGCGTATCCGAATCCGAGAAACGTGGTTCCCGGTAAACAGGTTCGAAGACAACAACAAACGCCTCACTTTCTCTCCCACGTAGGGCGGGCTCGCCGAGCTCCGCGGATTCATGCAGCTGACGACAGATTGGGACATTGGGTAGTCGCGAAACCCCACAGATGAGTCTTGTTGGTGTTGTTGTGGTGGGTGTACGGCTGTAGTACTTCATCCAACCCCCCTGCCCATCACGGCACTCCCGACGCCTCACGCCTGCGTTATCGACCCAGGGCGTCGGTAGCGGGGGGCACCGCTCATTCCGGGTCAAAGGATGTAGATCCGTCCCCATTCGAAAACACGTGCATATGCCCATGACAAGCCTGAACAAGAACTTGAAAACCTGGAATTCGTGTTGCTGATCACTGACTTCGAGGTCGCTACGAAGAACTACAGCCAGGGATAGGCGAAAGCGTGTGTGCGTGTCGATCATGTTCCTCTCTCTCGATGTCGTGCAGCAAGGGCGCGGTAGCTACATACAACGGTGGGCGAGTGGGTTTCGAAAGGACACGGTGACGAGAGGTTTCGGAGTCCGCGGGCATGAGGATGCGAGGATCGGGCTTGGTGGTGACTGGCTCAATAAGGGTTGCTGGACTTGTCGGCCCAGAGGTCTTTCCAAAACTGGCGGAACCCATACTGCTTCTCGCGGCGCTCATCTCGGACGCGAACTGGCCCTCCAATGATGTTGTCTAGCACGCTCTTCTGGCCGGAGCTCTGCCAACTATCTGCTTTCTTGGGCGGTTTGCGTGCGCGTTCGAGGATGGCCCCGGCGAGCTGGGGCGCGACGTCGGCGAAGCAGGAGTTCAGCTCGCGCTGCAGATTGTAGTAGGGTCTTTTTGCTAGCTCGGGTGCGAGGAGGTTGTAGCTGCGCGCCTTGTCGTTGAGGTCCTTGATGGCGACTTTCCAGTAGCCGCCTTCGATACGTTCCCAATCTGGATCGCGGAAAGGGTACGGCGCTGGTGCGACTGTTGGTTCGGGAGCTTGGACAGGTACTTCCATGGTTTCCGTGGTTGTTTCTGTTACGGTAGCTGCTGCTGGGTCCTGCGCTACAGCTTCTGGGGAAGCATCAAATGTAACCTTTTTTGCTACAACTTCTTCCGTGACTACTGGCTCCGCATTCGATCCTTCACCTTCTGAGTCTACCTTCAGCCCGCCTGACAAAGTGATCTGTGACATGTGCCCGTCATCGTCAACAGTGGTGAGGGTCTCTTGTTGTTTCCTTCTCAGAGGGTTTGCAATCAGCTCTGCCTTTGCGAATGCCTCAGCTGTCTTGATCTGGTCCAGTAGCGATCCGCCCTTGCTGGCTATCACGCGAGCAGCATGCCTCTTCCAGTCCGCCCGTAGTCGAGTTCTGAACTTGCTCGCAGCCGACGTGAGCTCCTGCTGCTTTTCGATCCACGGCGGTACAATCTCCTGCTTTTGTATAATCTTATTCATGAAGTATTCGGTCGTGTCGATGAAAGGGCTCGATGCGTTGTAGTCTCTTTCGATGTTGGCCTTCTTTCCGCGCGGGATGTTCTTGAACTGGCCACGAGCGATGGCGTCTTCGATTCTCTTATTCGCAAGAGATGCGATGCCTTGGATGGAGCCAGGGACGATGGTACGCGCACCTGGTTCGAAGCGGTCTTTGAGGTCCTGCAACCGCTTCTCTCGGTCGAAAGCCTCTATACTCTCGTCTTCATTGATGGAAGCGTAGACGGTGCTCCTGTCGCGTGCGTTGGCCAATCTCACGCCGCGCCCCTCCTTGCTCCGAGCATGTCCGGTATCGATGGACTGGGGTATAGGAACGCCTGGCATCTTGGCTGGTCGCCCGAGTCGCAGCGGCTTATGGGCATCGTTCAGCATGCGTAGGCTCGCATCGTGGATGGACTCGGTGCCGGTCCAGGCTTCTGTTGTGGCAAGCTCGCGTGTGTGGCGGGAGGCGAAGGCGGGCAATTCTGCTTCGGACGATTTGAGGTTTGCAGATGCGATTCGCTGTTCGAGCTGTGCCTTGAGGTCTGCACTGAAGCCTGCCTCTTCCACAGCTTTGACGGCGCCATGTCTTCCCGACTCCAGCGCGTCTTCACTCATTTCCCGCATGCGTCGAGTGAATGCGCCTTCCTCCTTTTCGGCCCCCGCGCCTGATCCATGGCCATTGTTTCCTGCTTCTTCATGCTCCTGTTTCCCGTCATCCTCATCTTTGCGCTGTGTTGCCGTCTGCCCGTATCGCCTCAGAGGCCCTGCCGTCGCGGGTCGGGATGGAACGAAGACATTGGATCTTCGATTCGTGCGCAAACAGCGTGCGCAGATGTACTGTCTCGGAAACGCAAACGCGGGCATACAGGAGGGTCGGTGAAAGGAGATGGGGTGTTGGAGGAAAGTGGCGTCGCCGAATTCTAAGAAATGCCCATATCCCACGTCATGACCTCCAGTTTTAGCGCGAGTCTTATCGATAAGTGACATGCGGCCGAGGCTCCCCCAAACCACCGATGAACTTCCTACTCAAGTTGAATGAATGCACTGTCATGATCTCATAACTGACACCTGATGGTACATCCAAACTAAAGTATATGTTCAAGAGAAGCCAGCCATCCATAACTAGCCACCCGCACCACCTTCAGCAACATTCACCAGCAAATCTAACAAAGTATGTCTCTTTTCCTTCTCACCCTTGATCATACACATAGCAGTAGCTAAAAACACCTGATAGATCCTACTTCTCTTCATCCGCAAGATCCTCGTACTTTCCGCCTCTTCTTCTTCCGCCCCTTCCTCACTTCGAAGTAGCATCTCGGGCGCGTTTTCATTGATGAGACGCAAGATAACAGTATCGAAGAACTCCAAAGTACCACTCTTTCTACTCGCAACAGACGACGTGTATACCCCCAAACACACCTCATCTCGCTCCTCTTTCTTCTTTTCAGTGACTGGTAGCCTGGCGACTAGCTTCAGATGGTTGAACCGCAACAAGACACCACACGTACGAGATTCCTTGATAGTACCTGTTCCTTTCCAGAAAAAGTCAATACCGACATACTGGAAATGATAGCATCTCGTGTTACGAGAAAGAGGGCTCTTCCACCTTAGATACACCACCTCGTCGGCTGTCGCAGGTTCTTCTAACTTGCCATTCGTCCTGGCAATAACATCGGGATCTTTTCCTCCGCCAGTCTTACGGATGTTTTTCACGGAGCGAACGTATTCCTTGCCCGTCTCACCCCACAACCTCCACGTCCGCACTTTGTACCCTTTGAGCTTGTGGTGATCGTGCTTGAGGGCGTTCTTGTCGCCAGCGTTGTGGCGCCATGGGACCACACCGCGTGGGTCGAGTATGCCGGGGGTGGATGGGAGGAGTTGCAGTATATACTCTTTCCAGAAACAGCCTTCGTGTATCAAGATAGCTGGCTGCGCGGTGTAATTACTGCTGCCAGTGTAAAGTACGCGAGGCGGTACGTGGAAGGCGAGGTATGGTCGGTGAAGGAAGAACGCATTATCGTCAGGTTTTACACTAGGTAGTCCAGCGTCTCGACGCTCTTTCTTCTCCTTGCGTGTAGCCTTCTGTTCTTTGATCGTTGGGCCGGAACGTCGTTCCAAGATAGGGTCGACAATCGGTGTGATGCTCTTATGACATGCGTGCTTCTCGTAGATGTGGAAGGTCGAACTCGACTCGGTACTAGGTGGTAGCTCATGGTCATATTCCGTGGGTAGGCGGGTAGTCATCACACCTGCAGCCGATGGTATGGGTGCTGTAGTGAATTTAGTGCCCTGATCATGTCAACATCTGTCAAGCGAGAGGCTGTCGGTATCAGCACACATACCTTCGTCCCGTCGACTCCATCAAGCTTGATTGTACCAGAGTCATCTGACTCTATGACAGTCGCCATAGCTCTTCCCCGCGATGTTCATCTCCCTACATATATATGGAGTATGGCCTGTGAATCTGGCTAGCCACTCCCTATATGTGGTGGTTTTGGTGGTCACCAGATGATGCGCGAGTGTCGCGCCAAGCTCTGTTGTGGAGGCTGAGCCACTCGCATTGCTCGTGTTGATGCCGGCTGCTACATCGTCCAATCGAAACCTTGTGCCATGTGTATGAGATAGTACGTGATGGCTCGACTGGCCACCGTTTTGCTAAGAAGTTGTGTAAGCACATGCAAACTGCTGAGGCAGACTTGAGGCAGAGTTCATACAAACCTGTCCAGGCGCAACACCTCCCAATGGCATGCACAGTGCACTAGAACCCTTGCATACGATGATGTGGTACTTTTGTACTTTCCCGATAATGCAGTATGCCATTCCATGCTATTTACTGACTCTCAAGCACCCTCTTCGCGCCATCGCTGATGCGCTTAACCTCCTCGTGTCCCTTCTTGACCACCTCCTCCATTTTCTTCTTCGCCTTTTGCAGGTCATCCGGTAGCACATCGCGATTCAGCTCGAATTTCCTCAGCTTCTTGTTGTGTTCCTGACGCCCTTGCTGTATCAGCTTGTCTGCTCGCTCAGAAGCTTTGACGGCCGACTCGACGGCTGCGCGACGCGATTCTCCTGTTGGCGGAGGGAGCGGGACTTGGATCGTGAGTGGGTTGGAGGGTTCGGGTGTAAGAGGTGTGAGTGAGTGCGGTGAGGCGGCGATGGCGGAGGTAACGTGCTTGACGTGCTGTGAAGTGTTAGAAGACTTGGTGCTGTTGTAGCAGCAGCTTGAAATACCGTGTCTTCCCCGCAGATGACATTGAACATTCTCCCTCTGGGCACAACCTGCGCGATATCACCCAGTCTCACGGTCTCTTTGTTTCCTGCCGTGCCCAGTTGCACTTTCAAGTTCTCCACGATTTCAGGGTTCGTCTTTCCCCCACTGCGCAACTGACTGAGATCATGCGTAAGCTTCTCTAGGGCCTTGAGGATCTGTGCCTCCAAGCCCGAGACATCGTAGGCTTCGTCGGTAGGTGTGAGCGGACCCGGGTTGCTGACGGGTGGTGAGGAATCGGTTCGCGCATGGGCTTTGTTCGCTTTGCCGGCCTTCTTCTGTAGTTGTGTGCTTATGGAGAAGCTCCGGATGGCGTGGATCGAGCATTGTGGTGTTGGTCGCAATATAGGCCTGGTGGTGTGAGCGGGGAAGTTCGCGCAAAGCAGCGATTGAAGCTTACAGACTGCGACTCGGCGCCTCAATTGACCTCGAAGATGTACATAACGGGCTTCTTGAGCTAAGACGTATTGCGGCACGTGGTATGGCGGTGCGAGACATGGTTGCTGATATATGAGGATGATGGCTTGCTGGTACAGCTGTTTACGCGGGCGGAGGCACGGACAATCTTCCGCACGCGACGAGGACGTCATCGTGTTCCCGAACCCTAATCACTAATCAAGGCCGCCCATCCATGGATGGATTACATGTAACTTTCGGTCCTGACTTTCATCCCCGCATTGCTGACATGCAGACTCCTGGTACAGATCATTGCTTGTTCCAAAGTCTAATTGCAAGGCTAGATCACCGCATCTCTCTTGGAGGCATCTCAACAGGCCTGTCACCCGTCAAAGGGTCCCGATACCAGTTCTCCTCCGGGTCATCCAAGCATTCCCCTACTCGCACCAGCTTGTATCCATGCGCCCGTGCGTTGTCAATCATGAACTGTGTGTATCTATGCACGGTTCCTTCGTGGGTGTCGTGCGCCAGGCCTAACCAGGCCCGGACCCCGTTACGGTTCTTGCCCTTGATCTTCTCCATGAAGTTCTGTTCCGTGTAGGTGTAATTACCTTCCCAGTCCCGTCCATCGAGATCGGCTGCAGTCTTTTGACGCAGTTAGTTTGGTCCTCTCCGTTACTCTTTGCCAACTCACCACATGGTAACCGAGCTCTCCCATCTCTTCCTGGCATTGAGGGCCACAGATGTTGAACGGCGGGCGCATGTAAGTTGGGAAGAAGCCCAGAATGTCATTGAGAACAATCTCTGCTTTTATCTGTTCGTCTCTGCGTTGCTGCGGAGTCATCTTATCCAAGTTCTTGTGGCCCCAGGTATGTCCCGCGATTTGGTGTCCTTCGTTGTATATTCTTCTGATAAGCGCAGACCTCTCATCGAACTTGTGAGCTATCAGCTCCCAGTACAGGTTGATTGTCCTGATATAAAATGTCGCTTTGACGCCGTTGGCTTTCAAGATGTCCAACAAATCCGCTGTCCACTCTCGAGGACCGTCATCGTACGTGAGTGCAAGCGTATTTTCCACTTTGCAGTTGAAAATCTTCGTTCCATAGGGAACATCTCCCAGCTTGGGCCGAGGGGTGTCTGATGTATTGAATCCTGGAGGCCATTGCGTGCCATCGCAGGCTAACCCATAGTCCCAAAGACACATATGTTTACCAGCAAAGTTTGGATGTGTCATGCGAATACCCTATTCACATTGTTGAGTAAGGCGGTAGGCGATACGCAGGGCTTCAACTACTCACATCTTTCGAGCAGCATCGGCTACACTCAGGTTGCTGAACTCCTGGTCCGCATCTTCCATAGTTGATAGTCTCAACGTTGACGACTGGATTTATTACTGGGCATATATTTCCCAATGGTGTGTAGTAAAATGGATGGTAAGCTCCCAACGCACTGTTCATGATGAATTGGATATTCGGCTGACTGATGCGGCGCTGTCCAGCTTATCTAGATCGATTGCGACCACAGCGACGCTGTCAGCCGGTTCCGCGAGCTTCGCGACTTATTCGCCCCGTGTTTAGGTTCACATCCGCAGCGGCGCGACTGCTCACCGCTTGCATCCAAATCTCAGGGGCCAAATGTATCAAAGCGCCGGTATGGACTAAATAAACGCCCGTTAGGCCCGATCTCCAAATGTGCAGACAAAATTAGCCGGTCTTAGACTTGGGTACCGAATGCAAAGACCGGACGATCACTTCCTCGGGCCGATTACGAAAGATGGCGTGTATTACCATTAAATAGGCGAAAACCGTAATGTACAGAAGATGGCCAGCCAAACAACCAATAGAGCCACTTTGCGAATGCGACTGAAGATGTGTCGGCCTCTGACGCCCGCGTCAGCTATCATCGGTTCCAGACTTCAATCCGCACATCTGCCAAGGTTTCCAGAACTGTGTAATCTAAGCCAGGTTGTTTCGCCGCTACCACGATGGCGTCAAACGATCTCAAGACGTCGGGCTTCCAAGAACCTTCTTCCAATCTTGATACTTCGGGTATCGCCTCCTGGTTAACCAGAGGATCGCAAAACATGAGATCTACCTCGCCAGACTGTCGCATGTAATTCAGCAACTGCAGGCCTGGCGAGTGTGACAGGTCCGACTGCCCGGGCTTGAAACCGACTCCGACAACGAGAAGCCTGGGGCGGTGTGTCGAACCATGTTTCTTGTGGCACTCGTCCATCATAGTTGCGAGAAGCTGGCTAGCGATGCGCGACGGCCGCGACATCATCTTCTCGTGCGCTTGTTGTAGGAGCGGAAGATTGCATGTCGACATGAAGTAGATCGGGTTAACCGGGATGCAATGACCCCCAATTCCCAACGACGGGTACATCGGCAGATACCCAAAAGGTTTGCTGGCGGCTGTGCGTGCCACTTCGAAGGGGTCGATCCCCAGTCCCTGACAAGCGTCTGACATCTCGTTGGCGTACGCAATGGCTATCGTCCTTTGGCAATTCTCGTACAATTTTGACATTTCCGCGACTTCGGGTTTGCTGACAGGGATGACAGTGTCGAACACCGTCTCATACAATCGTACAATGGCATCCAGCGAGCCCGGGACAATGTCGTCGAGCCCAGAAACGACCTTTGGTATTGATTTAGGCGGAGGCTCGATTCGGCCTGGGTCGATCCTCTGGTAGGTGTCAGCCAGTACTCGTTCTTTCGGACGAAAAGATCATCTTACCTCTGGTGACATCCCCGCAAGGATGCCGCGGGATCCGGCCAGCGGCCCAAGGAGAGCTCTTGTCATGCCGACGGCGACGGTACTTTCTATGACTACTATCGATTTGCTGGTTGCGTAGCGTTGCAGCATGTCTATCGCGCTGCGGACATGTGATGAGTCTACTTGGCCGCTCAATCCCAGGGTGGTCGGTACGCAAACGAGAAAGTGTGCCGCGTCCTTCAAATTCCTCTCATCGGTTGAGAATTTGACATTGTACCTCTGTGAGTGCTTCGATCGCAATCTTTCTATCCGGGAAGCCGAGACGTCGTATCCAATAACCTGGTAAGCGGAAGAGAAGACTTCCATGAGATGTTCGCCAACATATCCCACTCCGATGATCGCAACAACGGCATTCTGATCGTGTTTCTCCATGGGAATGTCGTAATACGGTGATAATCCGTGGTCGTACAAATTGTGATGTACGAAATAACAAGCTCAGTAATCGAGAAGTCCCAGAGACGACATGGTTTAGGGACGAGGTATATATTTGAACTCGCTAAATTACTCCTATCTTGATACTCTACTGAACGCACAATCCCACTGAGACATGACCGTATTGCGATGGCAAAATTTCATCCGGTATTGATACACTAGCAGCGAGTCTCGCTACGCGCCAAGTCTTAGCTTCGGTACTACCAAGTATTCCGAAGCGGTCCGTATGTTTGGACTCACCGGTGTACCTCCGAACTAATGCGTGTTCAGCATGAAAAATCGCCACAAAAATGTGTTTTAGGAAAGCCACGCACGCAGGCACAAGATGTCACGCCGCCTGGAGGTACCTCGGTGATCAGCCCTGTCACCGTCCCTGGCGTCCCTGCGTTACACCGCCTGAAACTGTATCGCCTAGCTGGCGTTCTAGAGATTAACCAGACTTCCATTGTGGATATGCTTAGTTTGACGCTCGTACCCTGACACAGTGACCCTGAATTCCAAAAGGCACATGGCGTTTGTACAAAATACTAGAATAGCATCTTTCGCTCCTGCAGCACTCGCCGTTAACCACATCACGACACAGGAATTCCTATCTTCCCCATGAAGATGGATGTCCTCAATACAGCGAGCTCTGGCGCTCAGATTGCAGGCAATCTCAAGAAACGATCGCGCTTTTTCTCCTCCAAGGTTTTGAGCAGCGCTGTTGAACATTTACCAGATGTCAATACGGATCGTCTCAGGATTGAGAAATATGTAATATGGGCCATCTTAATACCATTCAAGTAAGTGAATGAAAACCATCACACCCCACTGCGTAAGATACGAGTTGCTGATAAAGCTACTCAGCCTCTGCATAATGTACATGTTTGCAGACTGGGCAAAGTATTCCTGGGTCCTCTTCCCGAACCTAATTCTTCGAGCCGTTGTGGATATGATCGAAATCACCATGGTCATCCATGCCCTCATTCGAAAGCGATTGAACCCGCCTAAGATCACGATCCCCGCAACGCCGGAGAGCTTGGTCTACCTACTTTGCTGCTACAACGAGTCGTATGAAGAGATGATGAATTCGCTGGTTTCGCTGGCTGAGCAGCAGTCGCTGGATGATCACAAGAAGGCTATTGTCGTAGTTTGCGATGGTCGCGTGAGCTGCAAGGGCATGACCAAGACGACTTCCGCCCATCTCAAAGAAGATATTGTTGAGCGTTCGACTAGCACGTTCATGAAGGAGGCGTACACTGCCTGGGACGACGGCCCAATGGACATTGAAATCATCAAGGGTGAATTCCGAGGGCTTCCAATCATCTGCATTATCAAGAACGAGAACCGCGGGAAACGGGATGGCATCATTCTCATCCGGACGTTCCTGAACAAGTTCAATCAGCGCAAGGCGAACCCTGATTTGAAGATGATCTCGCCCAAGCTCTTCGCCGAGCTCTCAGGCTTCCTCGAGACCCAATCCATCCAGAAAGTTGACTACGCTCTTGGAATAGACGCAGACACCCGATTCGACACCAAATGCGTTCACAACCTGATGCAGACCGCAAGAGAAGGCGATGAGATCGTGGGAGTAACCGGCTACATTCGTCCCGACCCGATTGCTTTGGGAGGCTGGACAATTTCGTATCTCTATCAGAACGCCGAGTACATGGTTGGCCAGCATCGGCGTCGCCTGCGCCAGAGTCTCACAAGTGGAAAGGTGACGTGCCTGCCCGGCTGCTGTCAATTGTTACGGGTCTGCGAGGAAACAATGGGCGACTTCATCCTGGGGAAATTTGGATACTATCCCAAGGCTTCCGATGGTCTCTTCCGTACAGTTCGTTCCATGATGAGTGAAGACAGAGACCACGTCTGTCTCGTCATTGCACACTACGCCCACGTCCGGACGCGTGTGAACCTCAGTGCGCGAGCGTACACTACAGCACCGAATACTCCTTCGGTGTTCGTCAGTCAACGCCGTAGATGGACGCTGGGGCCGCTCACAAGCGACAGTCTGCTCCTCAGTCGCAGATCGACGGGCTGGATGGAGAGAGCTTCTGCTTTGGCTTCCTTGACGCATTGGGTGCAAAACCCAGCGCTTCTTATCTCACGGTTCTTCCGTACGTACCACTCCGGCTGTGATTCTTGAAATTTTGCTAACATCATAATAGGTGACCTGGACGATCGGACCATATTTTATATCGTAGCTTTCGAGTACTACCGACGCGTCTTCGACTTAATGGTCACCCTCATGTCGTGCGATTCGTTCATCGATGTTGTCCAAACGGTCATTGGCTGCGTTGCCTATACCTGGTCCGCGGCCTACGTCAACGTCTGCACGCAGTTTTACACGCTGTGGAGGATGGACGATTTCCGGTGGGGCAAGACGCGTATAGCGGTTGCGGGCAAAGAAGAAAAGACGCACACGGGGTAGAAACAAGGCTTCCTGGAGAATGCAAATGGGGGAGATGAGAGAGGTTGGGCGGTTTCTTTGTTCCTTCTGCTAAAGGGTTCTCGGCCCCTGGCTTAGTGTGAGCCCTGGCGCGTGTAGCCAATCGGGTCATAGATCGTACGTCACGCTCCGTAATGTAATCATAGATACAGAAACGATAAAAGAGAAACTTTCGACATTCGCATGCGTGTTTCATGGCTTTTTCTGCTTTGCTGTACTTTTGATGCAGCCTCGTTGGCGTGACAGGTTGGTGGAAGGTTCGGATGAGATCATGCCGGGCATATGAGATCTTGGAACAACCTCTTTGTTCCTTTTGCGACAGTATGACATCTTTCCTCATTGCCATGGCTTACATTGTTGCCGGGCACGGTATTGATCGCCCCTTCGTTGCCGTCCTCCGTCGTACAGTTAGTGTGCTTACACCGATCGCTCCTTGCAATTCGCCCAACACAGATACTACGCGCGAGGTTCGCTGACTGCTCGCCCTCAGGTAGTGGAAGTCAAGTTGACCGCTACTGCAGTAGCTCTTACGAATGCGCGCCCAAATGTA